CTGTCATGGCTGCCATTACGTGAAGGTGCAAAGCCTCTATTGTTATATATTTAGCTCCATACGACTTTAACAGTAGAAATTTTCTTCTTGGGAAATAAATTTTGTCAAGTAAAAACGTTGCATTGTTCATGTCGATAACATGGACCCCGTGAAACCACCCCCAGTGTGTGACCGGTGGCAGTGATGTGCGTACAAGAGTGTGGCTTGATGAAACACTGGCTGATAATGTGAGCCACTAATGCATTACTTCTCAGTGCTGTGTTCGCGGAACTCATAGGTGAGTTAAGGTGCATGTTGCTTCTTGACTGTAGTTGGACCGCAAAAGGACCCCTCTTATAGGCTATGTGTTCCCTCATGCATTCGACACCTTTCCTTTTGCGCGACAAACAGAATTCCCAGGAAAGAAGAAGGAAGAGGAATGAATCCAATTATTATTCTATTTGTCGGGGGTTTAATATGAGTGAGTATTGATACTGAAACGGCCGCGTCGCGTCGCGCCGTGTCATGCCGTGCCGTGCGGGTTATGCATATAAGGCATACCTGACACACCGCCAGCCCAATAACATCCCATAGTAACGCCAACACCCCAGCCGAAGTTGATGGAGAAAAATGTTCCATTTTGTTGCTTGCTGAGAACGGCCTGTGCAACAGAACCGTCACCAAATACCTTTGAAGAAACCAAAAATAAATATTTAAAAAAAGTAAAAATAAAAATAAATAAATAAATGAATAAATAAAAAACTTTGAAAAAGCAGAAGAGCAACACTATCAGCTCAGATGTTGTTCGCGCGTAAGGTCGTGGGTTCAATCCCCGGCCGGACAAACACTCAGGGTCTTAAAATAACTGAGGAGAAAGTGACTCCAGAYTTTATCATTACTAACCATATAGAAGGGACGTAAAAATACCACTGAGGACTAGCAGTGACCGCCCTCAGTGCCCATGCTAACCCACATCTTATGAGAAATTTATAATTCACCCAAAAAATAATAATAAATAAAGCGCTATATAAATCATAAATCGTAATTATAGTTAGGAGAGATAAGTGCGGGAGATATTTGAATTTTGGAAGAAAAAAGGGCTAGTTAAGTAAGAAGAGACTTACAATTAAAATAAAAGTTGCGATGAATTCCGCTAGTGCCTCACGCGCCAGAGGCGGTAGCCTTCCTCGAAACCTGCTCAAAGCCATCCTTAAAAATGGCAACAATTCGAATTAGTTCAAACTTACACTCTCCAACATTACGCCCGAGGGGCAAGTACGCCCCGTGACGACAGAATAAGGACAGAGATGCGTGACATAAACTTATGTGCGTGACAAATTTATCCCTAAAAACAAAAGCAAACTGAAACTTCAAATATTGGTATTAGTCCCAAAGCTATGTTGTAAAGCAAATGTGGTTCATTGCCGCGCAGCTAGCGTGACACAGTAAGCATACAATTGCGTGATATCAATATATGTGACATCAACATGCTAAACTTGTATGACATAAGTATGCGTAAATAAAAATGTGTGAAGAGCGGCATGAAGTACGAATGAATTTCTAGCAATCATTTTTAAATGGAAAAAAAAAACAATTTCGCAACTGCGTACGATTCCCGAATTTTTCCGAATGGATTCCGAGAGACTTCCGAACAAGGAAGTGCCATTTGTGAGTTATCAGGTTAACAATGAATATTACGAAGAGCAAAAAAAGATCGCACACGAACAAGACAAAATAAGAAAAATAATGATTGTAATGGTATGATACTTATTGCCATGCTCATGTCAGCAGCTCTATCTGGCATTACCCTCTGACCTGTTTGCCACACACTGACGACTTACGAGCTGATTACGTTGCTTCAATATACTACTCTCTCTGACTGTGCAGACAAATTATACATCGTATTCGGTTCCACCAACGTAAAATCCCCACTTAAGATTCCCAAAACAAAAAATTCCCTTGACATTCTTTGAAGTCTTTCTCGAAAAAAACAAAAATCAAAATGCTATTTGTTCTTATGTGCGATTGTAACCGCGATGATGATGATGATGATTTTACACAAAAATATGTAAATCAACGACCGACAATCCGTCCTTCGATGTTTTGAAGCTCAGAAAGGATTCCTTTTTGTGAGAATAACAGAGGGTTTTTCTTTCCGTTACAGCTAGCTGGTTGTAAGAACTGAGAACTCAAGAACCCCCAAAATGTAGGGTTTTTTTCCAAATCTCTTTATCCTGGTAATCCCCAGGCGACAGATAAGAGTAAATTGGAAATGACAATATTAGAATAACAATTTCAAGGGTTTTTTTTCTAATCTTCAAATAGCAAAAATTCAAGATTTGAGTCAAATGTATTTCTATTTAGCTATTATTGTATGGCTTTCTCCGAATCGTACTGAATCGAGAGTGCGCGTAATATTGAAAACTGCCGCGCTAATGCTATAAACAATGCACTTTTCAGCTTTATATTTCTGTCTTGTAAGTTTGGAATTACATACCACGGACAAAAGCGCATTTATCTGCAGAATTGAATCGATTGCTCACGTTGTAGAGCGCAGTCATAATGGCTGGCAGGTGAAAAATATCTTTAAAACACAGTAAAACAATGCTATTATCGCCGTATCTACGAGCGATGAAATGAGGTCGGATGTTTAACATACGATAAAAGAAATGCCAATACACAAAAAAGGCAAGGCGTTTGACATGGAATAAAACTAATTCGAAAAATAAATAAATAAAAGCGAGAAAAACAAGATGTAAGCACTGTTCAATAGCTACTGGGCCATAGGATTGAAGATGAATCTCTCGACGGTTATTTTTCCAAGCGAAAATATTTTTAAATACTACAACGAAGCCCGCTTATCGACACGACTTACCTCGAACGGTGAAGAAGCAGTTTTATTCCTTTAGCTTTGGGTAAGGTTTACGGGTGAATTGAAATCCTTACCGCGAAATGTAAAAAGGGGGCGTTCTCTTCCGATAAAACCAAACCAAACCTTTGTGAATTATTCCAGGAGCTGGATTCAAACATAAATACATAAATTACAACCTACTACCCTGTAAATTCAGTATTGACCTCGAAAATGATACTGACAAGTATACTATTACAGCTCTTAGCATTTAAGTTTTTTAAGATCCCAAAATTATGCAGGCTAATAGAAAATCTCTATTGGGTAGTAAATTTTGTGAAAAGATAAAGATATGTTTACGATCTTTTTTTAATATACTAATAAGATTTGAGTTTATTTTGTGAATCACAATTATTCGCTGATTGACTTAGATCCGAGGGTATTAACCTTGTACGACATATTTCAAATAGATCAGTATTCRGCCAGTCAGAAAGTTAATCGTGAAGGAAGATCAACTTTCTGATTGGCTGAATTGATCGAATATGATTCCAGGAGGTCGAAAGCGAATTTGAAATATTCGTGTCTTCGCAAGAATGCTTTTAGAGATATGCTTTCGTGGGGATCTATTTTACTTCGTTTTTCTTTTCCTTTCTTTCCTTATTGGAAAAAATTGCCCATACATCTGGAATATTTGCTCTTTTCGGTCTCTTAACTCTTTTTCCAAAGCAAAAGGTTGTGCTTAAAAGTAAAGTTATATAACAAGTAAACTGCGTGACACAACATCCTAAATGACCCTGTAAATCTTCTGTTCTTTCGCTAACTACGTACAATATGTTTTCGAGGCTACGAAACCTAAGAAACCATGAGGCGAATGTATAGCCAACAGATAGTATCGGAGCTTATAAAATCAGCAAAAGTACGGTTCTAAATTTTAACAAATTCCTATGAATTAGGAAATTGTCCAGGAAAGCGCAGTGTTTTCAAATCCACTTCAGTTTTTTTGACAGGTTCTGTTTTATTTCAAGGAGAGACGATTTTCTAGCTTGACCCCGGTTACTTCATGCATTTTCTCTTGTAAAATACATCCAATAGCGTACATTCAATTCAAAAAGTACGGTGGTTTTTTCAATAGAATTCAATCTAAACCATATAATACAGTCCGTGAATAGTTGAATTAACTGAATCCACTTCTGTTTTTTTGCCTAGATAGTCATTGTTCTAAAGGGAAAAGATCCAAAAACCGTGTTTTTGAGACATAATTTGTATGGGCCCACAATAAGGGGCGTGAGCTTGAAATCGTAGCTGACCAAATGTTAACAGATCTTTTCTGTTCTTTTTTTTTTTTTCTTTTCTTTTTTTTCGGCAAAGAATAAAATATGTCCAGATGGTGAGGTAAAAACCAGTCTAGAAATCTGACGCTGTCTTGACGATGGACTAAAATGGTTTTTGTCGTTCGCAAGACGCGTGGTTTAATTTCCCGCTCTTTTTATGTTTCTTTGTCACCGCTGCAGCCACAGGCTGCCCAGGCTGTTATCCTGTGGCTTAAAAGGCAATGATATTTTCAAATATTTGACGATTTTTTTTCTGACTTAAAATGCTTAAAATAAATGTTTACAAACCTCTATATACACTGGGAGTTGATATTAAATTTTTCGGGAAAGAAAATTTTTCGAAAATAGCAAAAATACGGACATAAAAGCTTTAATATGAATCCCCAGTGGATTACATGAAGGTTTTTAAATATTTATTAACCTTTTTTTTTWAAATCTAAAAGAAAAAGAAAAAAACGTAAAATATAAGGATAATAGCATGTGCCGCCGACAAAGAGGGTTTTTTTTTGTGTTTTCTCGTGCTAGTTTTTTTTTTCTTTAGCTAAAATTTTACCCCCCCTTTTTTTTCTTGCCACAACAAAGCCGAATTCGAATTTTGACTACCATTGTAGAGAGTTTTTATGAAAAGGTTTATCGCAACGAGAAGGTACGTTTATTGGGGGAGGGGGAGGGCTGGAGAATTCGCAGTGAACCGTAAGAAATTGTAGCCCCCCCCTCCCTTCCCCCAACCTTTCATTCAGTAAGAAATTCATGACCCTCATCTTAAGTCAACAAGAAAACAGCTTTCGTCGAAATAAAAGGTTTGACCGTTCATGAAAGTTCGAGTTTAAACTGTTGGCCCTTTTCTAAAGCCCCCTTGCACAAGTGAACGCGCGAAAATTCCGTTTAGGCTCAGATCGCCAATTTCAGATCTGAGACCGTCTTAGAAATAGGTGAACTAATTAAAAAAACAGCTCACTTCATTATACTTCAAATGTGAAGATTCTTTGACAGCGGTAAATTTATAATTAGACGGCCAAGCAGCTGCTAGCAAATGTAAATTCAGGTTACACTAAACACAAGAAGTAATGATAATGAAAATGCTTCTGAGTAAACACTCGTATAATCAAAGAACGAATATCTTAATCGATAGACATTTTATCATTCATCTACTATCCAAGTGAATATGATTTCGGACGAACGGTATGAAATTTTCTTACTATATATTTTAGTCGCTAATTCTGATTATTTCAAGTTCACATTACGATCTTGTTTTTATCGACGCTTTTTTTGTACATGGATGTTGTCGTTTTGTCTGAGAATGATGCTTTTGGGAGGGATTTTTTTCTGCGGCATAGCTTTGTCCTCTCGTTTTTAATTTCAATGTTTAAACATACCTTCTGTCAAAGTCCATTAAGAAATACGAAAACAATCGTCAATTAAAACAGCGTCAAAAATAGTTTTTTAAAAAACGCATCCCATCTGAATTTAATCCAGGGATAGCGTTGTTGGAGCGGAAATCTCCGGCATAGCCGTATGAAATGTTTCGCGCTGCTATGCGACGGTTCAKCCGACAAATCTAGAAGTATAGTTCTAAATGCTTCAATCAACAAAACTAGAAACAATTCCAACCAATATGCAGTTAATAAACCTGGCAAATAAACTATTTCAAGTTTACTATTAAAAAAATAGAATGCTTATCGCGCATGCGCAATTGAGATTTAGACTCCAACTTGTACCGAACCTACGTTTCTTCATGCTTCGTCGCAGGCCAGAAGAAACGCAGTCTCTGGGTAAGAGATTGGGCCGGTTAGATTTTTCTCAACCAAAGTGAGTAATATTTCTACCTAGGACGTGCGTCTATCAACTGCTTTATCAATAACTTTAGATCTCGTCCTTGACCCGCTCAGCTGGTAGAGTTTTGCTGCATAGAAACTGCCGTGAGCAAAAGAGTTCCATTATTTAAATAGCAATATAGAGGTTAAAATGGCATGTTTTAATGTTCCCTTAAAAATTGATTGTCTTGTGGCTACTTGACATCAGTCGTTTTCGTTCTTGCCTGGACGAGGACGAACTGAGATCAAAACCATCATTAAAAGGATTTTCCAGAATGTTTTTGAGGATTTAAAAAAAAAACCAACAAAACCTTGGGTTTCAAAGGATTGAAACTGAACTGGTCGGATTCCTTTTGAGAGATACGAAAATTTATGAATTTTTTCAATGATTTATCCAGCTATTCCAGTATTTTTTGGGTAGATAKCTTGATCTGATAAGTCCCTTCCTCCCCTACCCCTCCCCCTCCCCCAAGAAAGTTAAATCATGCAAGCTACCTAATCTAAACTTTGATTATTATATCAACTGGATTTCCCTTTACGAGCTTTCTTTGCAGGTCTAATAAAAGGATTGTCCATGACGTCTGAGACTGTGACTGATTTGTCAGCCTTTGAATTGTCACTTTTGTCATCATTGTTTAGATCAAAATCTTCGTTTTCTTCACAGCCAGAAATAGCAAGAAGATATGGTAGAGGAGGAGGTGGATCCATTATTACTGAAAAGAAAGTTCAAGAAAATAAGTTAATAAATTGATTCCATTAAATGTACAATATACCTACTTTGAGCATAACGTTTCCCCATTTCAGACCATGTGTCATCCTCTTGAGAATAAGATTCTTTCCTTGAGTTGTATCCAAATTCATGTGTCTTCTCATGTGCAACCATTAAATAAAGAAATGATACTATAGGGAATGAAACATGGTCTTGAGAATAAGATTCTTTGTTTCAGTTGCGTCCATATTCATGTGTCTTCTCATGAGCAACCGTTAAACAAAGAAATGATACTCTAGGGAATGACACATGGTCTCGAGAATAAGATTCTTTGTTCGAGTTGTATCCATATTCATGTGTCTTCTCATGAACAACTGATAAACAAAGAAATGATACTCTARGGAATGAAACATGGTCTTAAGAATAAGATTCTTTGTTTGAGTTGTATCCATACTCATGTGTCTTCTCATGCAACCATTAAACAAAGAAATGATACTCTAGGGAATGACACATGGTCTCRAGAATAAGATTCTTTGTTTGAGTTGTATCCAAATTCATGTGACTTCTTGTGTGCAATATTTAAACAAAGAAACAATACTCTAGGGAATGGCATGTGGTTTGACATGGGCAAAATGAAAGGAAATGAATAGAAAGAAAAGGAAAGGAAAGAAAGAAAGGAAAGAATGGAAAACAAGGAAGGAAGTAATGAAAATGAAAGGATAGGAAAGGAAGAAGAAAGAAAGAAAGAAAGAAAGGAAAGGAAAGGAAAGGAAAGGAAAGGAAAGGAAAGGAAAGGAAAGGAAAGGAAAGGAAAGGAAAGGAAAGGAAAGGAAAGGAAAGGAAAGGAAAGGAAAGGAAAGGAAAGGAAAGGAAAGGAAAGGAAAGGAAAGGAAAGGAAAGGAAAGGAAAGGAAAGGAAAGGAAAGGAAAGGAAAGGAAAGGAAAGGAAAGGAAAGGAAAGGAAAGGAAAGGAAAGGAAAGGAAAGGAAAGGAAAGGAAAGGAAAGGAAAGGAAAGGAAAGGAAAGGAAAGGAAAGGAAAGGAAAGGAAAGGAAAGGAAAGGAAAGGAAAGGAAAGGAAAGGAAAGGAAAGGAAAGGAAAGGAAAGGAAAGGAAAGGAAAGGAAAGGAAAGGAAAGGAAAGGAAAGGAAAGGAAAGGAAAGGAAAGGAAAGGAAAGGAAAGGAAAGGAAAGGAAAGGAAAGGAAAGGAAAGGAAAGGAAAGGAAAGGAAAGGAAAGGAAAGGAAAGGAAAGGAAAGGAAAGGAAAGGAAAGGAAAGGAAAGGAAAGGAAAGGAAAGGAAAGGAAAGGAAAGGAAAGGAAAGGAAAGGAAAGGAAAGGAAAGGAAAGGAAAGGAAAGGAAAGGAAAGGAAAGGAAAGGAAAGGAAAGGAAAGGAAAGGAAAGGAAAGGAAAGGAAAGGAAAGGAAAGGAAAGGAAAGGAAAGGAAAGGAAAGGAAAGGAAAGGAAAGGAAAGGAAAGGAAAGGAAAGGAAAGGAAAGGAAAGGAAAGGAAAGGAAAGGAAAGGAAAGGAAAGGAAAGGAAAGGAAAGGAAAGGAAAGGAAAGGAAAGGAAAGGAAAGGAAAGGAAAGGAAAGGAAAGGAAAGGAAAGGAAAGGAAAGGAAAGGAAAGGAAAGGAAAGGAAAGGAAAGGAAAGGAAAGGAAAGGAAAGGAAAGGAAAGGAAAGGAAAGGAAAGGAAAGGAAAGGAAAGGAAAGGAAAGGAAAGGAAAGGAAAGGAAAGGAAAGGAAAGGAAAGGAAAGGAAAGGAAAGGAAAGGAAAGGAAAGGAAAGGAAAGGAAAGGAAGAAGAAAGCAAGGAAAGGAAAGGGAAGGAAAGGAAAAAGACTGATCAGAAATGCAAAATGGAATTCCTATTAACTCAATTTTATCCAAATCCTTTTTCCTCTTCTATAAAATATAAGCTGAGATAAAAGAATCTTACATAAATATGCAGGATCATTTTCAAGACCAGGACAGACTGCTGCCTTTAGATCCGCTGTCTTTGCAAGAAATCTAAAACATATAAATAGAATGCAATAAATAGGATATTTATAAACCCCTTGCATGTGAATGTGAAATTGTCTAATAGACCCTTTGCCAAAATGGCGGCCAAAAATTGAAATGCGTTAACTTAAAAAACCAATACCAGCACTGGAAAGAGTACCTTTACATTAGTAACCATACAAAGATTCATTATGTCAGGTTTTATATCGGCCGAGAAAACCTTTGTTGAAAATTGACAAATTTACCATGAGACATTTGTATGTCTCCCCAGAAATATAAACGTCTGTAAATTTGTCAATTTTCAACTTGATTTTCCTCAGCCGATATAAAACATGACATAATGAATCTTTGAAGGGTTACTAAAATAAAGGTGCTCTTTCCTGCAGTCTTTCGGTTTAATTTTAACTCAACCAAATTTGCAGCCACCATTTTGGCAGGGGTCTATCCCCTCCCTGGAGAGCCATGTTCAAAGGCTAATACTGTATATGTATCATACTTAGCTAATCCTTGTTCTATTTCTTTGCGCTGGCTGGCATATCTTTCCCTTACAGCTTTATATTCTTCACTTGTTTGCCGAACAGTCTTGACAAAGATTATAAAAGCGCATTAATCTACTGTTTGTTTGCTGCAATTTGGGGGGAGGGGGGAGGGGGGAGGGGGAAGTCATTTTATGTACAAAAGGGGAGAGGTTTAGGAGATTTTTAAATGGGTTACTTATGGAGTAGAGGGCTGGCAAAGAGAATGACTGATCACACCAAACCTAGGGAGATATAAAGGAGATTATCATACTTAGGGGGTGAAAGTGGGGGTGGGGGAGGTCACAACAAACCAGTATAGCATAGCATGAGGACTGCCGATGATGAATTATAATCACTAATTGGCTCCAGTTATCACTATGGCATGATTGGCCCAATTTGTAATAATGGCCCCAGTCTGAGAATCCTTACAGAAAGTCCCCGAAGAAGGATAAAAATTTCAAATTCAAACTTACAGGTGTCTTGACGTAAGAGTGAGGATCAGGAAAAGCTGGTAAATGTGAAGGGATGTAAGAAGGACGAGGTTGTTTTTGACCAGCTTCTAATGCTTTAGGATTTGGTGTTACTCTTGACTTTAAAGCTGAAAAATTTATAGAAATAGGATGTCAATATTATTTTGAAGATGTACTGTGGAAAGGTTTGATTGAATCCCAGAGCTGAGGGATTACATGTATGTGAGTAGAGTTGCTTGTTTATTCTCTCCTCGTTTAAAGGATTTTTCTCTGTGATCTTCTGCCCAGATGGGAGGCATGGGTAGCAAGCACCATTCAGACACTTTTCTCTCACCCCTGTGTACAGGGTAGTTCATGTCTGTGATTTATATATTATTGACTGTTATCATATAATTATCCATAAAATACCTATATTTCTCCTTTTCGAAAAACTGATATTTTCACATGTGAAAATATCGTTACCATGCTATTAGTTTATAAATAAAAGCTTTTTATAATGATAAAAAGCTTATTAAGTCGATTTTATGCATAATTATATGATAAACAGAATATTACATAAGCGCTTGGGGATATGAAATTTTTCTTCTCGGGTTGAAAATATCTCTTCAACACTCAAAGATAAATTTGGTATCTCCGCGCGCTCATGTAATATCCTCTATATCTGCATGTGTGACTTATTTGATGTGTTGTTCTCTCTCTTGCCACAAGGGTGTTTCTCCAGGTTCTCTGGTTTACCTTCCTTCATAATATAATAGCAACGAGAGAGTTGGGTGTTATATGATGTAAATAAGCAATGCAGGGCAATGCATGTGGAACAAACCTTAGGGAAAAGCCTTGTGGCATGGTTGTAAAATATGAAATATTTTATATATTACATACAGCTATTTCAAAAAAGTTTGTATACTGAATACTGCATACTGATTAGTGCATTCCAAGACCAAAGGGCATTGTAGGTCTCGTTAATTTGAAATAAAAAGTAAATATACAGCAATTAACTATCTATATGTAGTTAGTATATTGTTTCAGATGGAATACACTAAAAATAGAATAAATTATTATTATTAATCCTACTTTAGACAATGTCACTATGACCCACAATGTACTTCAGTCTTGGAATGCACTATTCAGTATGCAGTATGCAGTATTCAACCTTTTTTGAAATAGCTGTATACATGCACAATAGCCTGCAATTTATATTTCCAGGCCTGTCACTAGGACATTGAAAGGTGAGGTTCGTTTTTCTACCAATCTTAGTTATATATGCTATTTCTTGAAAAACTAAAATAGCGCTAAGCAACATTTCATACTTCTACAAAGGCAAAGAGGGGGGTTTGTTCAAACCATTGAACCACCCCTAGTGACAGGCCTGATTTCAAAGAAGCTTTCAAGCATTTGTTTACTTACGATTTCCTAAATTGAGCCTATGACGCCTTTTCGCATAAGTTGGAATAGAATCAAGATCTGCCCCTAAACACAAATACACAATGAGAGTTTGTTCTATTTTCATTTCTTTTCTAGCTTTAATTATTACTATATCATGTCAAAATAAAGACAATCTATCTTTTTTATGTACATGATRGTGCAATGCCTCTATTCTTGGGGTGCATTATACCTCATACACAGGTAAAAAAACGGATTCCCAAATTGGGAATTGTTGGGAATTTCCTTGAATTCCCAATTCGAACACCAACGTTGGGATTTATTGTTGGGAATTTCCTTCTAATACCAAATAGAAAAACAAAATTCCCAACAAACTAACATTGGGAATCACTGCCACATTCCAAATTTTGTTCTCTCTGGGAATTGKATGGGAATTCGTTGGGAATTCAAGGAAGTTCCCAACAAATTCCTAATTTGGGAATCCAGTTTTTTTTCCTGTGATAGCCCTCATGTTGGTTGATGATAATAAAGCATTACTCATTAGCTTCTCTTGTTAGATCAATCAACATGCCGGCTGTTTCTTTGTCATAAATATCTCAAGGGATTTTGAGCCATGTGGTCGCACCGCAAGAACACATGCAGCTGGGTAGAGAGATGTACTGTGACACCCAAGTGTTTTTCCCTTTCGAGAACAAAGCAAGGGTGTAGCAATCATAATTTATCCTACCGCCCACAAGCCTGAAGTCCTTTTGGAGACAAGTCTTTTGGTGTTGCTGAGCCCACTTTATGGAATGCTCTTCCCGCTAGCCTTCATAATATATCAAGTGCATTTGTAGTGTTTGAAAAACGAGTAGGAGTGTTTTATCAGGTATAAAAGCACGAGGCGTAGCCAAGTGTTTTTAAACCTGATAAAACACGATCTACGAGTTTTTTGAACTGCTTAAAACACTCATGAACAATTTATAAGATTTTGGTTCAACTGGAGCCACCATACACGTCAAGAACATGGGTTTTTATACTTCGATAGAGATTTGACATCACGGGCATGCGCAACCAGATTCAATAGAAGCTCCCACACGTTGGATATTGCGTGCCAAGGCAAAGACAGGCACGTTAGTCAAAGATCATTAGGGTTGACTATGACCTTGATGAAGCTCTATGTCTTCATCTAAACTTGGATGTATACTTCATCCCTGATGAAGTCATCCTCATAGTATTCGAGTGGTCTTTATATGTCTTTATATAAAATCACTTGAATACTAATGAAGAGGACTTTATCGGGTATAAAGGTTCATGCACGTGACGTGTATGGTGGCTCCAATTGGACCATAAGCTTATGAATTATTAATGAGTGTTTTAAGTAATGTTTAATAAACGAGCAGGAGTGTTTTATCGGGTATAAAACACGAGGCGCAGCCGAGTGGTTTTAGACCCGATAAAACACGATCTGCGAGATTATTGAACGGCTTAGAAAACTTATGATGTTTGTTCTCATTGTGTACTGATTTTTTTACGAAATGAACCAAGTTTGATAGAGAAAATCCAAGTTAAAGTTTATGCAAATGAAGACGAATCTTTATCAGATTTAAAATCACCTTCATGGTCATGATTTCTATTGTGTTTTCTTCATGAATTATTAATGAGTTTTCTAACTACTTTTAAATCGCAACTTAAGACTCATCTTTTTAAACTAGCGTTTAATATTTCATAGATTATTAACTATGTAATGTATTTTCATTTCTGAATTTTATTGTATATATTATCTATTTGTATATTGTATATTTATTGTTGCAATGCACTTTAATTGATCATTATATGCTAAAAAGCGCAATATAAATTAATAAATTATTATTATTTTTTTTTTGTTATTATCATTATTATTATTATTATTATTATTATTATAGTCCTAACAATAAGCCTATCACCTACTTCTCTCGCATATCGAAACAAAAGACTTCATAAAATCTACTTACCAACATCTATGAGGGCCATTCTTACATCCCCTAGAGTTGGTTTTACTCGAGTTGAAAGTTCACAATGTGTCTTCGCACTACGAGCTAATTCTGATAAATCTGACAGGGAAAAAAAAWATTTGACAAACCCTAAGCTTGACGAAATATTAAAAGAATTAATGACTGATTTTTGCCGTTTTTGTAAACAAAAATAAGACCCAAGTTTGTTGTGTGAGTTTACACAAAAGATTTCGAAGTTCACTGGCAGAAGAGTCGTGAATAGTAAAAAATGTACAAARCGATTGTCGAATTTTACTTACAACTTTGAAGCATTTCTGTTAACGTTTCTATTGCGAGTCTAGAAGCCGATGAAAAACCTTGTTCTCTGCAGATAGCACTGACCGACATTTGGAGAATACTTCTTTGTACAGAACCACTCTCGGCCGCCATCTTGGATTGGAAACATCACGTGGTACAGCCAGGCTCAGGCTATCACGGTTGGTCAGACAGACAGACAACAGACAGGCCACAGGATGACAAAATCGGGAAAAAACGAAAATCAAAGTGAGTCAGGGCTGGGCTAACTAACAGATCGAAATCATGGAATTACTAGCCCATAGACAGATGGACAGACAGACGTTCCAAGATCTGTGACTAGTAATTTTCCCCTATAGTTACTAAAATCGCCCAAGATACAACTTAAAAAACTGTATTCCGCAAAGGCGTTTCCATTCTCGCTGTGTTTGTCTTTTCTCAAGGGTTTGTTAGCTCGTTGACAAAGGCTGTACCGACGGAAGTTAAAGCGAATGTTTTAACTTCTGTTAGTACAGCTTCTCAGCGAGCCGAACAAACACTTGAGAAAAGACAAACACCGGGTAAACACGGAAGTTGAACTGATGAGAAATAGATGACAGGACGGACCAGCGAAAAAAATTTAACTGCCAAAAAAATTTTTAATATAAACCTCTTTTCCTTGCATGTAACGTTTTCCCATTTCAGACCACGTGTCATTCCCTTGAGTATTATATCTTTTATAAACCCTTTTTACTTGACGCGTAATGTTTTCCCATTTCAAACCCCGTGTCATTTCTCTTTGTAGTTACTGGTTGCACATGAGAAGACGCATGAATACGGATACAACTCAAACAAAAATTCTTATTCTCAAGGGAATGGCACGTGGTATGAAATGGGAAGACATTACGCCAAAGGTGAAGAGGTCTATTATACCAGCTTGACTTATATATTAACAAAAGTTTGAACGTAAAAAGTTCCTTTATTTGACAACTTCAGGGACCCTCCATCATTTTATGGGTCGATGTGTGGGTGAGAAGATGGGGAAGGGAGGGGGGTGGGGGTTCAATTTGTTACTGATGACCCTCGCTTTTGAAGCCCCAGCTATCCCACTATTAAAAAACGTACCTTCTCTGAATCACATGCTAAATGCTGCTAATGTATCGACCGTAAATGTGTATCGATATCTTTTTTATTTACTCGTTAATTTTATATGATATCGCTCACTCCTTCATGTACTCGCAACTGGAAGATATGGAAACTCTTGTGAACGCAAACGATATCAAGCCAGCTATTAACTTAAAAAGATAATCTCTCTGTCTTTTCTTTAAAATAGATTAGAGGAAGTATTTGCCAATCATATTTTTGGAGAAGTTAAATCAAGCCTCAGCTGAATCGATAACCTTTCAACATTTTTTTGGGCTGTAAAAATAGAAAGACAGTTCATCACAATTCAAATTTTCAAATATTTTCTTGGTAGTTTTTTCAGCTGATGGGAAGAATAGAGTCTCAGGAGTTAAAAGGCGGTGTTTTAGAACCCTTTCTTCACTTTCATTTTGGTCCTGATCGAGTAGTGCTGGACAATGAGTCTTACGAGTCTTCTTCACGTTCTCTTGGTGGGGCTTAGCTGCTTTGCCATTGCCGTTTCAGCAGGTTAGTGTTTCTGTTCTTAATTTTACTTTCATGCAAGCTTACGTTTCCTTTTCTTTTCTTTTCTTTTCTTTTCTTTCCTTTCCTTTTCTTTTCTTTTNNNTTTTTTTTTTTTCTTTCTTTTTTTTTTGTTTCCTCCATATTTTAATTTTATAATAATGACATTATAGCCACTGCGTGCGTAAATAGTGATTATTAGCTACCATGATTAGCTTGATCACTCAAGCTAATGAAAAGATTATCACAGTTAATAGAAACGCTAGCGTATAGCGTATCCCCATTCCCGCCCTTCGCTTGTAGAACATTCCGGCCCTTGATAGCCCTGCCTCAAGCTCCGCGCTCACGCTCTGAGTAAGCATGAATTTCTCGTTTAGCCTCCACATTTTATCGATCATTGAAACAAACTCTGGGCTGATCTAAGTCAGGGCACGACTAACTCACAGATAGAATCCTGAAACAACCTCTGGGCTGATCTAAGTCAGGGCATCAGTGACTAACTCATAGATCGAACCCTGAAACAACCTCTGGGCTGATCTAAGTCAGGGCACGGCTAACTCACAGATCGAACCCTGAAACAACTTCTGGGCTGATCTAAGTCAGGGCGTCAGTGACTAACTCATAGATAGAACCCTGAAACAACCTCTGGGCTGATCTAAGTCAGGGCACGGCTACTTCACAGATCGAACCCTTAAACCATTTCTGCTCTGATCTAAGTCAGGACACTACAAACTTATAGATCGAATTAGAATTTAGCTTTTCATGTTTTCATTTTTGTTTCTCAGTTCCTGGTGACTGCTCGTTCGATTTTGACCTGTGTGGTTACCAACAGGATCCCAACGATAACTTTGATTGGAGATTTATGACCGGAAGTACTGCTAGTCCTTCTACAGGGCCGCAAAGTGACCACACGACTGGAAGAGGTAACTTGAACTCGAATTTTATTGCTTTCATGATCATGCGCACAGTAGCGTATCCATGAGTGTGGTAGGGACGTAGAGAGGTTGAAGGTTGACTGAAGGGGGGAGACAATTAGAGTAGATAGTAGCCATTCTGTTGAGTATCATTTCCTTGTCTATCTCTCTTTCTCTCTGTCCTTTATATCTAGAGCGCAAACTCTAAATCCATGTAATAAAATCAGATTCTCGTAAAAAAATCTGATACACCAGAAGACATCAAATACACAAGAAGCTGCAGACTGCAGCTCGTTATCATTTTTACTTAGTTGTATTCTATAACAGCTGTCCCTTGTATATTTGTTCTCCCCTTTGCATTATATTAATGACCGTTCTAGTTGATAGCAATAACAATTTTGATTATTATTATTTCATAGATTTAGTTTGCTACAGGCCTCTCTTTTTCATCTTAGCCCAAAGTTTCTTCGTTTTACACTTTTTCCTATTTTCCTGACACACCAAAGGTCCTATTACTTTTTTCGTTTAGGATCGAAAAATCCGATACAAAAAGTAAAATGTTCAATTTTTCTCTTCCTTTCCCTTAAAGGATGGTATATCTATATTGAGACATCAAGTCCTCGTTTAAACAAAGAAGAAGCACGTCTGATAAGTCCTCCAATCTCGAATACCAACGGCAATTGCCTGGCATTTTACTACAGCATGTACGGGCTGAATGTACGAACACTCAACGTCTACACCCAAGAAAGCAGTGGTTCAAGAACATTAAGGTGGTCGCTGACAGGAGACAGGGGATCGCATCATTGGCGTTTCGCTAAGTTAGCGCTGCCTTCTTCTCGCTCGAATCTTAGGGTATGTATGAGAAAGATGAAAAAGCTATTCCTTAGTTTACAAGCATAATTCATGCGCCACGGGCGTCTTTCAGTCTTATCATTGGTAAGCACTCACATCGTTCTGTAAGTCAATCATTTTCTCACGCACCTTGAGCCATTCTATTGCGCGCTATAATTTTTCACGATTCTTAAACGTTGTAAATGACGCATTTGGTAACATTTCCTGAAGATGGGCGCTTAGCCCGAAAGTTTGGAATATAATATATCAAATCGTTAAAGAATTATTAATCTATAAACACAATTAACGAGGTTAATTATATTAGCAGGTGCATATAAAGTGTCCAATTTATTTGAATAGGTAACGCACGACCTCTTATAATCGTAATTATATTAAACGAGTAAAGTGCAATTTATGAATTTGCGATTTTTTATTTGCACTACACTAAATAAATTTGCACAAAAAAATCATGCTCGTAGCTCGAGCTTTGAATACCCTTAAAACGGGGCACTGATGGAGAGAGAGGAATAAAGTGCGCACCGCTCTTCCAGTTCTTTCTATCCCTGGTAGATCGAGCTTTGAATACCCTTAAAACAGAGCACTGATGGAGAGAGAGGAATAAAGTGCGCACCGCTCTTCCAGTTCTCTGTATCCCTGGTAGACCTTTGAATACCATTAAAACAGAACACTGATGGAGAGAGGGGAGTAAAATAATCCCCGCACTTCACATTCTAGTCCTTGTGGCAATAATTCAGTACCCTTTTAGATTCTTTTCGACAAAAAACGCAACAAAAGATCAATATTAATTTTGATGTTTTCCTGGCAGATCGTATTCGAGGGTTTATCGGGCACAGGATTCAGGGGAGACATAGCTATCGATGATGTTAAAGTATACAACGCTCCCAACTGTGCTGTCGTACCTCAAGGTGCCACTCCTCAACCAAATCCACAACCAACTCAGCCTCCATCACCACCTTGTAAGTTTATTTTTTCCCTTATAGTGCCATTTTTTTAAATTCAACGGTTGCGCATGAGAAGACACATGAATATGGATACAACTCAAACAAAGAATCTTATTCTAAAGGAAATAATAAACGATGGTTTGAAATGGGAAAACGTCATGCATTAGGTAAAGGAGTATGAAGTAGTAACTCATACATTGAATTGGAATTTAGCGTGTGTTTTGCGGAGGGAGGAAAACCGAAGAACTTGGAGAAAAATACCCCAATTTCCTCTTTCTCTATCGCTTTTGGCTCCGACGACCTTTTTTGAAATAGATGCATATCATAAATCATAAAAGGAGAAATCTTTTTGTTTTAGGCTGCGTTACTCGTTACCGGACGAACTTTTAACTGATCAAAAATGTACATTTAGGGCTTCTGTTCACCCAGGACTGAGCTATCCGAACAAAAATTCGTACTCGTAGCCGTGCAAATTTGGATCCGGTTTCGTGTAAACAGAACGCATTGTCAACGCCAAAGCTTGTCGATTGTTTACAAGTATTATGAGCCACACTCACTGGGCCGATCCAAATGCGTGTAAATAACGTCAAAGCGTTTGATTGACGGCAGTTTATTGCAAAGTGCACATCGCGATTTTTGTCTGGGGTGGCCGCGTAGCAATGCAAACGGCGGTAAACGGTATGTACAGGTCAAATGTTTGACCGGATAGAAATTTGTCCGGTACCGTGTAAACACAGCCTTAATTCAGGACCATTATTTCTTTTACTTCTCAGCTGTTCCATCGTGTGGTATCAAACCACAAGGTACGAGGATTGTTGGTGGTTATGAAGCAGCCAAAGGGGCATGGCCATGGCAAGCAATGCTGTTGTACCAGACAGCGTCAGGCAGCTGGAAGCAGTTTTGCGGTGGGACCCTGATTACTCCTGAATGGGTGGTGACGGCCTCTCATTGCGTTAATGATGTCCGTAATGTGGAAGTCCCATATCACAGAATAAGGTAAGGAAATGAYGCGTGGTTTTTATGATGATACATTTATTTACCTTCTGCGCAATGTTTCTGGTTCTAGGATGGGCGCGCACTATCTCAGAAAGATAACAGGCACAGAACAAGACTTTGACATCGAGCGCATCTACATGCACCCTGACTACAATCGCTACCCATCACAACACGACAATGATATCGCCCTTATCAAGCTCAAAAGACCTGCAATGCTGAACAAATGGACCCAACCTGCTTGTCTGCCTACTGATTCAGTGCAGTTTGCGCCTGGTAAGGCCTGTTATATCTCTGGATGGGGTCACTTGAAGTCTGGAGGAGATTCACCGAATGCACTACACCAGGCAAAGGTATTTAAAATGCCTACACTCTTGAAGGGGAAAAAACGCACAGGCGTGCTGTGTGCTGTTATAAAGCACGCGGGGATTGGCGAACACGAGAGAAGTGTTAGAAGAAGACGCGTAACGGAGCGCTACTCGACACTTCTCAAGCATTCTGCCAATCCCCAAGTGATATAATAACTGCACAAAGCACAGCTAGCAAATTTCTTTTATAAAGTACAAATAGCTAGCCGTTATTATGGATAGGAATGACACAACTGAAATTGCGCGTGTGTGCCGTGTGCTCTCATAAAGCTCGCGCTCCCAACCAATCAGAACACGAGATTTATAACAGTTATAACAGCTTGGTACGCTACTACTATTAAATTTAAAAAGCAAAATCAACGTGGCATGCGTGACGGGGAAAATCGCTAGTGTACCCATCGAATCCTATCCACAGGAAGCCCACACACTATCTTCTATCATTTTACAGGTTCCTCTTATAACCAAGGCTGAATGTACCAAGCCCGGCTCGTACGAYGCCAACAAGATCACAGACAAGATGCAGTGTGCAGGATATCCCGGTCAGGGGGGCGTCGACACATGTCAGGGGGATTCGGGGGGTCCTCTTGTCTGCGAGAACAATGGCAAATGGTATCTAGTCGGCGTTACCAGCTGGGGTTACGCATGCGCAGACCCAAGATACCCAGGTGTTTATGCTAAGGTATCCAATCTGAAGAGCTGGGTACATCACGTGATCGCCTACCCAAATGCCCATTGAGAGAGACTCATGGAGTATGTTGAGTTTTTTGATTTAGAAATAGTATGATTTCATGTACGATGATCAAAGAAATAAATAAAATAATACACGTAAAAAAAAAAAGATTTACCAAGTTGGCGTTGTTGACTGTATAGAGTGTTTTCACGTGACGTCACAGCGGAAATTATGGGGTACCAAAACAATACATTTTCTATCCTCTTGGAATTGAACTCTATTTTTATGCAAAATACTGTGCAAAAAGTTTCTATTGTTTATGGCTGCCTTCTCACGTGAGTGAAAACGCTCTATAGACCAAATGCAAAACTCGCATTGATGTTAGGCTTAAGTTGTGAACGAAGGGATCTGGCGTGATGCAAAGCAATTTGAGGTGATTCAAGAGTCACGGATCATGCCAGATCCCTTTGTTCACATCTTAAGCCTCACATCAATGCGAGTTTTGCATTTGGTCTATGGTGTGTTGCTTTTTTCCGGTTTTTGATTGGTTCAGAGTCACGAAGTTGCGCGAGGGAAGAATGCCTTGTGAATGTAAGTGTTGCGATTGGATGATGTTTGTTTTTCCGCTTTTTGATTGGTTCAGAGTCACGAAGTTGCGCGAGGGAAGAATGCCTTGTGAATGTAAGTG